TCTCTCTCTCTCTCTCTCTCTCGTGCATGTGTGGTTCATTACTTCTTGACCAAGATTAAAGATAGGTCAGAAATCGCCCGTGCAATTTCTGTCCCTTGTTCCTCTTCTTAGAGCCACCCTCAGTGCAGCAGGGAGGAGTGGGAGGTGCTGCAAATCTTTCACAGTCATTCACAAATCCTCTCTGCTTGCTGAGAAACTGGGAGCGTTGCTCACCTTGGTATCTGCCCTTGAAAGTGCATCTTCAGCTGGAGAAGGATGCATCTCCTAACGTTCACTCACAGATGAATTCTCTGTTGAAACCGGGACCTATTCGGTCACAATGAATTTTGGCTAATCAACATTCCTATTATGTCCCAAACCCCTACCCTTCAGTATTGCTGATATCTGTAAGGAATAGGTGTGGACTAGCTGTGACTGAGGAGGAAGAACCTAACATCTGATAGAGGGAAGATGGGATATTTTTTATTCATATCTGGATGAGATCAAAATGAACTTTGAAAAAGTAATCAAAATAATAGTACATGTTTCTATTTTTTCTTCTCATGACAGAATTTTTAGAAATGTTTGCTAATAGACAAAGAAAGCTATTCAATGTAGTCAAAGATCTATCTTTGTTCTAAGCATTTTGGTGAATGCCTGTGTCTAGAAATAGGAGGGGCCATGAGCTATGGAAAATGGAGGGCAAGACTTTGAGAAACCACTTAGACTAGTGAAAAGGTCGGTCAGAGATGGCACCTGCAAATGTAACGTTAAGTGCCTCTCTCTTATTTGTGACTAGATAATGAGGAACGTTTGAAAGTGTAAGGAGATAAATTTGATGCAGTTGAAAAGATAAGCAGGTCATGTTTCCTGTAACAAAACTTTTTGCTGAGTTCAAGTCTGGAATTGGATCTGCTGTAGAGCGGGTTGAACTTGTTTGGTATTTAAATTTTCTATATAACACATTATAATTTGAAAAGAACATGGGAGAAATACATGAAATCATTGTGCCAAAAAGAAATTGGACAATTCTCCACCATTTCAGGCAGCATATGGTCACGTGAACCAATGGTGCTGAGACACAAGTCCAAGCTGCACTGAAGGTGTTGGTGTAAAACAATGCTGTAGGAATTGATGGGGCACCAATTGAGATGTCTCCTCCAGGAATTTTGGAAGCTAGCTATTTGGCCAAACAACTTCAAGAGATCCATATTTGTGTCAAGAAGAAGGAGTCCAGCAAACTGCACAACTTATCCAACAATATCAGTATGCACACACCAGTAAAATTATGCTGAAGGTAATTTAAAATAATTGCACCAGTACATTTGGGAACTGTCAAGAATTCAAGACAAACTCAGAGAAGGATGTCAAATAAGGATAACCTTGCTGGTGTAAAATATATCTTGGTTTAAAGCAGGAAGATGTTTACCTGTGTTTTATTGACTATTACATGATTTGTTATGTAGATAACAAATTATGCCTAACATTGTGAAGAATAGGAATTCCAGAGCGTCCAATTCTGTTCATATGGAACGTGTACATAGACTAAGAGGCAATTATTCCAATGGGATAAGGGAAACTGGTTTTAAATCAGGAAAGATGTGTGCCAGAGTGCTATCTTTTCACAATACTTATTCCAGCTGTATGCTGAGCAGCTAATAAAAAGATGGATTCTGTGAAGAAGAGTGTGGCATCAAGATTGGAGGAAGACTCATTAACAAACTGCAATAGGCAGATGACACAACCTTGACTGCTGAAAGGTTAGAGAACTTGAAGCACATACAGATGAAGGTCAAAGGCTACAGCCTTCATTATGGATAACACCTCAACATGAAGAAAATCAGAGTCTCCACAACTGGACAATTAAACAACATCTTGGTAAATGAAGAAAATATTTATATTGTCAAGGATTTCACTTTTCTTGGCTCCAAAAGCAATACACCCATGGAAGCAAAGAGGAAGTCAAACTGTATATTGCATTGGGCAAATCTACTGAAGAGACCTTTATAAAATATTAAAGAGCCAAAAAATGCCACCTCAAGGACTGAGGTGCACCTGATCCAAATCACGGTGTTCTCAGTTCTCCGATATGCATACGAACGTTGGACAATGAATAAGAAAGACTGAAGTCTTTGGATTATGGTGTTGGCGAAGGATAGTAAGGCCATCGTTGCAGCCACTGTGTCGATCCATCTAGTCAAGGGTCTTCCTCTTTTCCCCTGCCTCTCTGTTTCACCAAGCGTACTGTCCTTTGCCAGGCACCGATCTCCAAAGTACTTGAGAGGAAGTCTCAGCATCCTTGATTCTAAAAAGACCATGCTGGTTGTACTTCCAAGACAGGTTTTTTATTGGCAATATTTAATTTTCAATGTTCTCCATCACCATAATTCAAATGATCAATTCTTCGGTCTTCCTTTTTCTTCATATGCATATGAAAGGGTTGAAAATACCATGGCTTGGGTCAGACACACATTAGCCCTCAAAGTAACATCCTAGTTTTTCAACACTTTAAAGAAGTCTTATACAGCAGATTTACCTAATGCGATGCGTCCTTTAATCTCTTGGCTGTGGCTTCCAGGACCATTGATAGTGGATCCAAGCAAAGACAATCCTTGACATCTTGAATTTCTTCTCGGTTTATCATGATGTTACTTCTTGAACCAGTTGTGAATGCTTTGGTTTTCTTTACATTGAGCTGTAATCCATAACGAAAGCTGCAACCTTTGACCTTCATCAGCAAGTGTTTCAAGTCTTCCTCACTTTCAGCAAACAAGGTTGTGCTATTTGCATATTGCAGGTTGTTAATTAGCCTTCCTCCAATCTTGAGGCCAAATTTTTGTTATACAGCATCTCTGATGATTTGCTCAGCATACAGATTGAACAAATATGGCGAGAGGATATAACCTTGATGCACACCTTTCTTTGTTCTGTTTCCACAAGTGCCTCTTGATCTATGTACAGGTTTCAAATGAGCACAATTAATTGAATTTTCATTCATCTCAAAGCTATCTGTAATTTGTTATGGTCCACACAGTTGAATGCCTTTGCATACTCAATAAAACACCAATGAACATCATTCTGGTATTGTCTGTTTTGAACAAAATCCTGATATCAGCAATGATATCCTTTGTTCCACATCCTAGTGTGAACCTCTGGGAGTTCCCTATCAATGTACTTCTACAACTGTTGGATGATCTTCAGCAAAATTTCACTTACTTGTGATATTAGTGATCTTGTTTTATAATTAAAAATATTCTATTGGGTTGCCTTTCTTTGAAATGGGTATAAATATGGATCTCTTCCAGTCAAATGGCTCATAGCAGTCTTCCAAACTTTCTGGCATAGATGAGTGCTTCCAGTGCTTCCTCAGCTTGTTGAAACATTTCAATTGGTATTCCATCAATCCCTGGAGCCTTGTTTTTGCCTAATGCTCAGTGCTGCTTGGATTTCTTCCTTCAGTACCATTGGTTCTTGCTCAGATGTTACCTCCTGAAATGGTGGAATGTTTACCAGTTATTTTTGGTTCAGTGACTCTGTATTCTTTCCATCTTCTTTTGATGTTTCCGGCATCCTTTAATATTTTGCCCGTAGAATCATTAAATATTGCAAATTGAGACTTGACATTTTTCTTGAGTCCTTTCAGTTTGAGACATACTGAGTGTGTTCTTCCTTTTTGGTTTTCTAACCCTAGATTTTTGCACATTTCATTACAATATTTGACTTTGTGTTCTTGAGCTGCCCTTTGAAATTTTCTATCCAACTCTTTGACTCCATCATTTTTTCCATTTGCTTTAGCTACTCTCTATGATTAAGAGCAAGTTTCAGTGTCTCTTCAGTATCCATTTGATCTTTTTAATGGCCTTTTGTTTTCTTCATGTATGCTATTCTTGATGTTATCCCACAGCATATCAGATTTTCTGTCATTAGTGTTCAATTTCATGAGATGTTCTAAAAATTCAGGTGGGGTATACTCAGTGTCCTCTTTTGGCTCTTGTGGATTTGTTTTAATGGTCTCTAGCTTCAACCTAAACTTATATAAGCAATTGATGGTCTGTTCCACAGTTAGCCCCAGGCCTGGTTTTAGCTGCTGATACTGAGCTTCTCCATCATCTTTTCACTCAGATGTAGTCAAACTCCTTTCCTTGTATTTCACTTAGAGAAGTCCGGGCTTACAGTCCCTATTTGTGTTATTGTAAAAAGATAATTGCGATGAAGATGTCATTGAGCTTGCAAAGTCTTATCGTTGTATCTCCAGCTTTGTTTCTATCACCAAGGCCAAGTTTTTCCAACTACCATTTCATCTTTTTTGTTTCCAGCTTTTGTATTCTAATCACCAATAATAATCAAAGCATCTTGAGTGCACATCTGATCAATTTCACACTTAGACATTGATAAAATTCTTCTGTTTCTACATGACCAATCCAGCCCTTTGCTATGTGTGTTCCTTTCTAAAAACAGAAGTGTGAGCTCCCATCCCAACATAACTCTTTCATTTCAGGTTGAAAGTTAATGGGATTTTTTTCTTTCGTAGGCAATTCATACTATAGGTAGTGAAAATCAGTAGTGTTAGCAAAAGTTGTTAGCGTCTGTGGAATTAACCTGTTACTCAAGGTGATCCCAGAAATAACAGTCATATTATTGTGATCCATAGACTTTCACTGGCTGAATATTCAACATCATTACAGCATCCAAGCCTCCACTTCAGATGGGTAGTAACTAAATTTGCAGAGCATTGAAGTGGAATGCTTCTAGTGGTCTTTAATGTAGGCCCTGGGATTCTATATTGAGTAGGAAGTCACCTCTCTTGGAATTACAGTACTGGAATTCAAATGCAGTTTTAGATTAAATTCAAAGCAGATTTTTAAAAAACACCACACTTACATAATTAGGATGTAGTTCATTGACTGATGTATGCATTTGCTTTGCCAGGGTTATAGGTCTCTCGCTCACTGCCATCAAGTCAATGCTGGCTCATAGTGACTCTACAGGACGGGTCGGACTGAGTTTCTGAGCTTGTAGCTGTTGACCGGATAACTGCTTAGTGGAATAGAAAGCCCAGTCTTTCTCCCACAGAGCGGCTGGTTGTTTTGAACTGCTGACCTTACGGTTAGCAGCCCAGTGCATAACCACTGTGCCAAAGGGCACTTTGAGTTTTATAGATTGAATTTAGCAAATGGCTGTGATATTTGAATTTATGAGATTTTATCTGTGAAAAATGGAGTCCATTATCTGTCTATGTATTAATATAGAAATGTGTTTCGAGATATTTTGCTGTCATTTATAAAGAAAAAAGACATTTATTATAAGGATAGAGTTGATTAGAATTAGTTTATTTCACTCATTCATTAATCCATACTCTGTTGCAGAAGGTTACAACAGATATGCCTTTTCTTTCTGGCTAGTGGAGAAACAAGAGATATAAATAAGCCAAAAGCAAAGAAATGCAAAATGCAATGGGAGACAGTGCTGGCAATGCATCCAGTGATATGAGAGGAGAGATAAGAAGCTTAAGGGGGATTCAGGAAGTCTGAAGGCTTTCCCAAGGGAATAGGCTTGACTGAGGTCTGAAAGTTGAACAGGCATTCACTTGTTGAATTATGGAATTGAGAGAGCATTTTAGGCCAAGAAAATAGCATTTTTCCAATAGCAGGATAGAAGATGACGGGTACAAGAGACTGAAAGGTCAGTGTGACTCAAAGTGGAAATAGCAACTGGGAAAGGGCTGGAACACCAGATTTAAGTAGTCGATTTGATTGATAGTCTCCTCCCTGAATCTAGTCTGACCCCATGACGTCTTTTGACCTCGAAGAAGGTAAAAGAAATACCAGATGACTTTTGAGACTATGCCGGAAATGGTCTCACAGGTTTTGCCTAGGTCTCTTCTGAAGTACGTGCTAAGAATGGCACTTGCCACGTAAGAAGAATGAGTCATATGGAGAGACTACATGTAGAGGTAGCTGCTCAGATATGTAAGTAAGTTAAAAAGTCATCTTCAGATCACTTTAGCACTAACGAACTACTCTTAGCAACTATAGGAAACTCTAAATCCAAACCCTCCAACTGAATGAAGTTTACTAATCCACAGAATCACAAGAGATCACATTAGATTGTTTTAAGCTAATAATGTTTGGATGACTTGTCACATAGCAACAGATGACCATTGTTGGTTATGTCAAGCAAAGTTGCCTTTAACAAAGTATGACTTGAAGTCTGTGGCTCTGGTTTGTGTTTTAAAAGTCACTCTATCCATAGATTGGAAAATGGATTAGAGGCAGGGCTGGAGTGGGTGAGGTTGGGCGACTTGAGTAGCCATTTTAATAATTCAGGTAAATCTGGTGGCGTCTTATGAAGATAGCTTGGACCCGAGTGGTAGCAGAGATGGAGAGAAGTGAGATGATGGTAGGAAGGTAAATTTAACAAGAGGCAGACGTGGAAATGAGAAGGAGGTGGTAAGATCATCTCCTAGAATTCTAGCTTGAACAGCTAAATGATGTGATTGCCTACAGTGAGATAGAGAACAGCAGAGGATGACTGACTTGCGAGATCACTTAGATTTAGACATGATACATTGAAGCTGGACTGATCCGTAAGTGGTGGTGCTAGTTTTCTTAAGTGGACTCTGACTCTTGACAGTGTGTTGCAGACTAGAACTACTCCATTGGGTTTTCAAGGCTGTAAACTTTGGAAGACATATCATCAAGTCTAACTTTCAAGACACCTCTGGCTTGGTTTGAACCAGCAGTCTTTTGGTTAGTACTTGACCATGTGTGCAATCTAGGGACTCTATCTACAGGTATCAGATGAAGAAATCAGGCCTGCGTTGAAAATTAAAAGGAGAATTATTTGTATAGCAAACGCAAACTAAATTCACTGTGGAAAATCAATTCCAACTCCTATCAACCATATAGAACAGAACAGAACTGCTCCCTGGGGTTTTGAAACTGAATCTCTGTAGGAGCAGACAGCCTTGCCTTTCTCCTGCTGAGTGGCTGCTGAATTTGAACTGTTGACATTTGATTCAGCAGTCCCAACACTTAACTCACAGTGCCTCCCTGAGCTCCTTTATTTGGATACAGATGGTAGCTAAATGCGTAAGTCGGCATTCAGAGCTTTCTAACTCCCCACCAGAGTTCCATGGACTGTGCCAAGAAGAGAATGCGCATGTGCTAAGGTATTCACTGGACTGCACACACCAGAAGTCATGTCACGCCTCTCAGCCATCGGGGCAATTGAAGCCCTGAAGCCAACAGCCTTCAACTCTCGAGTAACTATGCGGATGTTGTACTTTGCTCTGTGTACCACAATGTGAGAACCTTTGGGCAGCTCCATGTGAGATCCGCTAAGGAGGAAGACTAGAGTAAAATGAGGAGAGAGCCGAGGACAGAGCTTGAGAAAATGTTTTCAATAACTCCAAAAGTAAAATACAAAAACGAAATAAGTTAACTCCTAGTTTGATAAATAAAATATACTCTCATACATCTTACATAGAAATCCACTAGAAGAAAGTATGTATTTATTTTTAAAAATCTACATAACACAATTGCCAGTTCAATGTTTCTGTTTGTTTTTTGGGTGTGTGTGTACATGTTAGGGATCACAAAACAAAACCAAAAAACCGCACTGCCATTGAGTGGATTCTGATTCACAACAACCCTATAAGACAGGGTAGAACTGCCCCTGTGGGTTTCTGAGACTATAACTTTTTACAGACGTAGAGCTTCATCGGTCTCCTGCACAGTTCCCTGTGTGGTTTCAAACAGCTGACTTTTAGTTAGCAGCCCCACTAATAACTACATCAAATGTACAAACATCACCATTATCACTGCTAAATTTTTCATGAAAATGAAGCGCACGAGGGGTACCCAAAAAAACCCAGAATTTTTTCAAAGCTATCTATTTACATCTTTTTTAACAAAACAACCTTATCACCTGCAGCGTACTCTCCATTACATTTAATACATTTGTCAAATATGTGATTCCATTCTTGGAAACACTTTTCAAACTCACATGTTTGGATCCCTCTTCATTCGTGGAAACAAAGAAGTCGCATGGAGCGAGGTCAGGTGAGTAAGGTGCATGGGGCAAGAGAGGCATGCTGTTTTTTCCAAAAACTGGCAAACTGAGATAGCTGTGAGCAGGGGCATTGTTGTGACAAAACCAGTCCCCCATCTGCCACAAATCAGGCCCTTTTTGTCACACACTGTTATGTAATCATTTCAGAACCTCTAAATACAAAGCTCGATTAACAGTCTGACCTGGTGGAACGAACTCCAAAGGCACTATGAGTCAACATTTTCGTCCATTTGGGAAGTTGATGGACAGCCAGAATGAGGTTTGGCATCAATTGACAATTTACCTTTTTTGAAACTAGAGGACCACTTGTACACGGGTTTTGCCCACAGCACTGCCCTTGTCAATTGTGTTCAGCATCACAACAGTTTCTGTTGCATTTTTCCTGAGCAGGAAACAAAATTTCACAGCCACATGTTGTTTTCTTAAATCAGCTATCCCAAAAAAACAAGGTTTGAGCAAAACTGTTTTTATGAAAAAAATTCACTGTGACCAGAGAGAACCTTCCCAGGCTACGCCACTGGGTGCACTGACTCAGAGGGAGTTGCTCCTTGCATGCCTACTGGGGAAATGCGTATTATGAAAGCTCTGCCCAGCAGACCTTTTTTCCGTCTTATTTTGGGGGGGAGGTGGGGGGAGGTACTCCCTCATTATTTCTTAAACACGTTGTTTTGTGCTTGGTGCAAGTTACATAGAAAATTAGTTTTCTAATCAGTAATTCCTGAACAAATGGTTCCAAGTCATAGGTCATGATCTCTGCAGCATGTCAGCACTTTCCCTATTTCCACTGACCTGGTTTCCTGGTGTCTTCCTGCTTCTCCTCCTTGGTTTTGGGCAAATGTTACGCTTTTTTCTCATTTAATTGTTTGCTCTTCCTGAGTGTTGCTGTTTATTTCATAGGCTCATCTAATACTGGCTGAAGGTGGCCTCCTGGACTCCCTTCAGTTTCTTATCTAGCGGGTTCCAGTAGTCTTGGGTATTACGCTGGAGTGTAGAGAAACAAAACTAGTGACACTCATACAAGTATAAAAAAGAACTTTACATCAAGAAGCCCTCCAGCCCAGTCCAGCTCCAGCCCGTGGGTCTGCTGCTAGCTGGGGCCTTCAGCCTCATGTAGCTATAGCCCGATGGCATGGAAAGATAAGGTGAGCAGGAAGCAGGAAGATTTCAGTTTGGTGCAAAGTCCTATCAATCCACATAGGTGGGAACCTGGCAGGGTGCTGACAGTGCCCAGGATCGGAAGCCCACATGGGGCCATTCCTAGAGACAAATACAGAACCCAAATCAGGAGGAAGGTGAAAGTCAAGAGAGAGAGAAGTTATCGCTGTCTCTCGCACAAAAAGGCCACACCCTTAGGAAGGCATTATCAGGATACCCCTTGATTGACACGTATCATGAAGGTGACATAAAATCTAATCAGCACATCTCATATAATAAATAAAACTTACTGCCATTGAGTTAATATTAAGTAGGACAGAGTACCAATGTGTGTTTTCCGAGGTCAATCTTAAGGGAGTAGAAAGCCTCACTATTCACTGTTCTATCTCAGAACAGCTGATGGTTTCGAACTGCTGCCCATGTAGTTAGCGGCCAAACTTGCAACCTACTTTACCAACAGGTCCTTTAGTTTTTTTTAAATTCTCTTATGTTCTAATCTAGAAAAATCTCAGATTAGAGATTGTATCTCAGTTTAAAATGGGATAAATGTAGGTTAATTAGCACTGTGTTATAAATGAGTGTAGACTTTCACAGAATTCGATCCTTGAATACATTGGGCAGTCATTTTTATTTCTAAAACTGGCAGTGGGTTGGCATAAAGAGATGACACAGACTCACACCCTTACCAATCAGGTTAGATTAAACTCTTAATTTACCCAGCATCCTGGAAGTTACATAATCACACTGAGCAAAAAGAAATGCAATACATTTGCCAGCAGCTTCCTGAGACTCCCGCAAGGCCCCAGTAGGGGTACATACCTGATGTGATACTGAGCAAGGTAGGGGTTGGCTGAAGATAAGAAGCTTCATGTTCCACTTAAGGGAATGTGTTCAAATGGTTCTTGGATAAATTCTGCTGCCCTGGGCACACATTCCCATGCAGGAAAAAGAGCCCATTGAAGTATGTCTATCTCATAATCCTTTCCCATTATTTTATAAGCCCACACTCCCAAGATTCTCTTATTCTACTCTGTAATGCCCACGTCTCCTACTTCTCTACCCATCATCTTTTAGAAACATTAATAAGGAAGTGTTTCATTGAATCATCAGCCTTTCAAATATTTAAGTCTCTATTATACTGTTGCAGCTGTTGGAAAGTTTACATTTTAGTAAAAGATACAGACAGTGGTCATTTTGGAGAATTAAGAAAACAAGATAGGAACTGTCTGGGGTGGAGTATATTCCAGAAAGGCATCTACGAGGCTTGAAAAGTGAGGGAGAGGGAGCCATTTGCAAATTTGTTGTTGAGTTGTCAGCAGGTCAGTTCTGACTCACAGGGACTTGGGGTATAACAGAGCGGAATTCTGCGTGGTCCTGCCCCACCCTCACAATTGTTGTTATGTTTGAGCCTGCTGTTGCAGCCACTGCCCCAGTTCATCTCATTGAGGGTCTTGCTCCTTTTCACGGACCCTCTACCAAGCATGAAGACTGTTTCCGAATACTGGTCTCTCCTGATAGCAGATCCAAAGTGAGATAAAGTCTTGCCATCTTTACTTCTAAGGAACATTCTGCCAAGACGGATTT